TTTCCGGGTTGTGTGGATATTTATTTGAACTTGAGGAATATTCCCTTAGTTCATGTGTTTGGATATTTGTGTGGAACCTTTGAATATTGTCAGCTTGGGAAAACAATAATAGTTTTATTTTTTTAGTGTTTAGTGATTAGGGTGGTAGAGTTTAAAGTTTAGGGTTTAGGGTTTAGGGTTAGGGTACAAATAGTAGATATTAGTTTGTGTGTTGTGGATACTTGTCTTTCCTAGTTGTAATACTTGTTTCTGACATACTGATATTTATTCAAAATATTTTGATTTTTTTCCGGGTTGTGTGGATATTTATTTGAACCTGAGGAAATATTCCCTTAGTTCATGTGTTTGGATATTTGTGTGGAACCTTTGAATATTCTCAGCTTGGGAAAACAATAATAGTTTTATTTTTTTAGTGTTTAGTGATTAAGGTGATAGAGTTTAAAGTTTAGGGTTTAGGGTTAGGGTACAAATAGTAGATATTAGTTTGTGTGTTGTGGATACTTGTCTTTCCTAGTTGTAATACTTGTTTCTGACATACTGATATTCATTCAAAATATTTTGATTTTTTTCCGGGTTGTGTGGATATTTATTTGAACCTGAAGAAATATTCCCTTAGTTCATGTGTTTGGATATTTGTGTGGAACCTTCGAATATTCTCAGTTTGGGAAAACAATAATAGTTTTATTTTTTTAGTGTTTAGTGATTAGGGTGATAGAGTTTAAAGTTTAGCATTTAGAGTTTAGGGTTTAGAGTTAGGGTACAAATAGTAGATATTAGTTTGTGTGTTGTGGATACTTGTCTTTCCTAGTTGTAATACTTGTTTCTGACATACTGATATTCATTCAAAATATTTTGATTTTTTTCCGGGTTGTGTGGATATTTATTTGAACCTGAGGAAATATTCCCTTAGTTCATGTGTTTGGATATTTGTGTGGAACCTTTGAATATTCTGAGCTTGAGAAAACAATAATAGTTTTATTTTTTTAGTGTTTAGTGATTAGGGTGATAGAGTTTAAAGTTTAGGGTTTAGGGTTTAGTGTTCGGGTACAAATAGTAGATATTAGTTTGTGTGTTGTGGATACTTATCTTTCCTAGTTGTAATACTTGTTTCTAACATACTGATATTCGTTCAAAATATTTGATTGTTGTCCGGGTTGTGAGGATATTTATTTGAACCTGAGAAATATTCATTTAGTTCATGTGTTTAGGGTTTAGGGTACAAAATATTGATATTAGTTGGGCTGTTGTGGATATTTGTCAGTATTTGTTGTAATATGTTTTATTTATTTCTTGATGTTTGTTTGTATTATGATGATATTTGTTTGGGTTTCTTGGATATTTCTGTGAACCTAAAGAATATTCATTTATTTCTTGTGTTGGATATTTGTGTGGATTTTTGAGATACTATTCGTGGTGCCGTGGATACTTGTTATGGTGAACATCTTAGTATGGGTGGGCCCACAACCACTTTTTCTCTCTCAACTCACCCAACCCCTTCTTCTCTCTTCTTTTCTCTGAACTTCCTCTTCTTTTCTCCGACGGAAAAGTCGCCGGCGACGGCCTGCCTCTTTCCTCTTCATCCTTCGGCGTCCAGGGAACGTTGCTGATGATGATCCATGATGAGGCCGAGTTAGATCGTCCATCAACGAGCTCGTCCCATGAAGAAGAAGAATTTGTTGATGGTGTATTAGAAGGTTTGACTCAAATAGATGGTGGTTGTGGGTTTGGCTTCGTTGCTACAGTACAAGAAGAAGAAGAAGGTGATCGTGGATTGACATATTTATAAGTTTGTGTTGTTGAGTTTTGGTTGGGAGCATTGAATGAAATTTAATGTCTTTGGTGTGAGTTTAATGTTTGTTGGTCTTCTGGGATTCTACTATGAGCTAGTTGGATACTTGTTACCTACTGTTTGTTGGACGTAGTTTGTAGCCCATGTTTAATTTGTGTGGATACTAGTCTGGGCATATTTTATATTCATTTAAATATTGTGGATACTAGTATGTCGGATTATAATTCGGATACATATTTGGAGCAATAGGATACTATTTTAAGATTCATGGATACTACTGTTTACGGATATTTGTTACACGTATTCTGGGAATTATTCTGGGCACATTGGATACTAACTGGCAATGGAAATATCTCGCAGCTCACAACACTTCGGACCTAGAAGATGATGAAGCGAGGAATAACATCTTTTTCGCACTAAGGAAGAGTGTGTTCGTTTCTACGAACGCTATGCTCACAAAAAAGGGTTTGGTGTTCGAGTAGATTCGCAACATTTGAGAAAATGGAAGAATTCTGAAGGAGAGGTGGTGGAAATTTATGCCTACCTTTATTATGTTTGTAATAAGCAAGGGTCAACGGAAGAAGTCAATGTTGAGAAACAGAAACATGGAGAGGATTCCGTTGTAGAGAGAAGTCGCCCTAAAAGAAAGAGGTCTCGAATTAGGGCTGAATGCCCCGTCCTTGTTCGTTTCCGATGGGATGAGAATAGGGATGGATATGTGGTGCACAATTTCATGGGAGCTCACAATCATGATTTGCAGCCCACCAAGCATGCTCACCTATTAAAGTCAAACAAGTCCGTGAGCGTTCCTCAAGGACTTGTTGCTGAAGCAAATCGCAATGCCGGGATGAGTCTTAGGTCATCGTATCAGCTATTGGCTGAGTGTGCCGGAGGGTATGAGAACTTGACTTTTACCAAATGTGATCAGAAGAACCATTTGAACAAGAATAGACAAAAGACTGTGTCTCGTGGCGAAGCGACTTTCTTGCTTGACTACTTTCAAGACCAAAAGGAGAAGTATCCCGGCTTCTTTTATGCTGTAGAGGTAGATTGTGAGGAGAAAGTTGCTAATATTTTTTGGGCAGACAGTAGGATGCGTGAAGATTATGCACTTTTCGGAGACTCTGTCTCCTTCGACACCACCTTCCGAACCAATAAACACTTCCGGCCATTGGGTATGTTGACGGTTATGCATTGTTTTTAATACCAAGTCTTTTGCAGGGATGTTTGTAGGTTTCAATCATCACCGACAAACTTGTTTGTTTGGCGCTTGTTGGTTATATGACGAGACAACTCCTTCTTTTGAATGGTTGTTTGAAGCATTTAGTCGGTGCATGAAGAGGAAACTCCCAGTGACAATCTTCACAGATCAGGACGCCGCTATGGCAGCTGCCCTTAGAAAGGAGTGGCCAGATGTGTTTCATGCCATCTGTACTTGGCACATCTTGACGAATGCGAAGAAGAATCTTCGTAAGAGCAAGAAATTTTGGCATAAGTTCCAAAATCATCTTGCTTATCTTTTCTACTACGTCGACAACGAGGCCGAGTTTGATGAGGCATGGAGCAGCATGGTTTCAGATTGTTTTCCCTGTAGTGAAACTGTCGATGGCCACCAATGGATGCAATATTTGAAGAAATTTCGTCATCAATGGTGTTCCTTATATCTGAGAGATCAATTCACAGCGGGAATGTTGACAACGGAAGCCAGTGAGTCGTGCAATTCACAAGTGCGACTCTTCTTGAAACCGAAACATAATCTCGATGAGTTTTTCATCCACTTTACCGGGTACGTTATCCAAATACTAGACGGAAATTTATGGATATTACTTAGCCCCTTAAGGACATTTGTAGATGATTTTCTGGTATTTGTATGTGATGATGTGATACATTTTTGTGTTGTTTGGATATTTGCTCTGTTTGTCAATGGATATTAGTCTGGGCAATTTGGTTTTCTTCATACATGCAGTTTGTTGGCTGACAAAAGGCGCAAAGAGACTAAGTCCGACTATGATGGGAAACAATCAGCCCCTTGCATAGTGTTGGAGAAAAGTTCCATCCTCCAACATGCTGCCAAGATCTTCACGAAAAATATCCTCAACCGGATTCAAGAGCAATATCTGGAAATTGAAGACTATCTAATTGAGCTTGTTCCAGATAATAGGGATGATGGCTTCATTAGCTACCGTACATATAAGATGGAGGATGATGAGCGTAGCGATGAACGTGTCATTCTTGTCAATACTTCTATGGCCACATTGGTATGCGATTGTAGGATGTTTAGAACATTCGGGGTCTTATGTCGGCATATGCTTAAGGTGATGCGATTGCTTGGAGAGTTTGGGAACGATAGTATGAGAACTATTCCAGATCATTACATACTCAAGCGATGGAAGTTGGAGGCGAGAAGGAAAGAGGTTGGTGATGCTGATGCTTCAGGCGATACTTCACATAGTCATGAGAACGAGACGGGAAAAGGAGATATAGCAATGAGGTACCGAGAAACCACTGCAATGTTTAATCAGCTCGCAACAAAATTGTCAATGGCGGATGAGTGAAAGTGTACAACAGGTGGATGGGAGCATTGCAGAAAGTGTGCAAGGAGGCAAACAAGGCATTGTCAAAGACTATAACTAGCAAGGACGGTAAGTGTATCGAATATTTTTTGTAAATTAGTATAAGTTAATATCATTGGACGGATTACTTAAGCCACTAACATTGTAGGGAATTATGTGCCAACAACTGGCCTCTCTCTTAAGGAGATGAGTAATCCAAGGAAGCACGACAAGGAACGTTATAAGTCCACGAATGAGAAAGAGCGTCGTCGAAAGAAGATTGTCTATGGAAAGAGATTGAAAGCATTGGAAGTGCTCAAGCAGGAAAACCATTTTCAACATGATGACCATCTCACTGACTTGGAAGACGACCTTGCTGAATTTGGGTGTGGATATAAGTCTGTCAAACTCGGATATTTTTTAAGCAGACTACGATATTTATCTACGTTGTAAGGATATTACTATGCATTGTAGGGATATGTCTTTTGGTTCTACAAATATTATCTCTAAACATTCAGATATTTTTGTTATATTTTATGTATGTGGTTGTGTGGATTTTATGTATTTCCATCAAATATGCTTAGATTTTAGTTTGGGTGTTTTGGATATCACTTTGGGTCATATGATATACTTTTGTTGAAGGAAAGATATTCTTAATCCATCCTTGATAAACTAATAAAGCGAGCAATTTCATCAACATAGTTAGTGTCTACTTTTGTACAAATGTTACCAAAATAACACACTCAGCTTATACTAATAAAGCGAGCAATCAGGATAGAGTTAGTGTCTCCTTTTCTCTAAAACTTCCCAAAATAACCCAATCACCTTAATACCTAAACATCAACATATGTCCCATGAAACATAAGGAGGTAAGTTTCAGTTTCTCTTCCCTTTCTCCTTATATGCTGCCCACTCCTTTGCCTGCTCAAGAATGACATTCCTTACTTTGTTGTATTTCCATTGAAGGAGACTGCCTGCAATAGATGCTCGCTGGTGCTCCACGTGCTTTTCCAAGTGCCAAGTTTCCTTGTATTCCGATGGAATGTGACCCCCCCCCCCCAGTGCTCCATGAACATGCACGCGAACACTCCACAGTCATCGTTTCCTTTTTGTTGAGGAACATCGGCAATTAAGAATTCCCAATCATGCAAGGGAAAATCGAGGTTGTGCTTTGCAAGGAAAGCAGCCCCATACTCTAATATCAATTTCCCCATGGGACAGTGATCCACCTTGGCCACTGCTGGCTTGGATTTCTGGCTGTCCAAAAGGAAAGTCTTCTGACTCCTTAGATCAGCAGCGTAGACCCGGTAGTGTTTGTCTGTATGCACAGGGGAAAAAAGCTGAAACATAGAAAAAAATCAGTTATTCTCTCGGATAAATATCCAATAAACCCAGACTAGTATCCAAAACTAACATTTCAGATATTCACAGGCAAATCTTCAAACGAATAAGTTATTCTCTCGGATAAATATCCAATAAACCCATACTAGTATCCATAAGCATGTAAATCAGTATCGAGATAGAATAAGGATTCACTTACATATTCTACTTTGTCCCATGCAACTTGTTTGAAGACTGGAAACCACTCGGTCAGTTCAATGACCCCATCGAGTCTCTCCTTGGACGGGGGCACATTCGTCTGAGGATTAAGTAAGGCAAGATGCTATTTGCAAAGTAAAATAATAGCTAATTAGTTACTGAATATCTAAAAATTGTAAGGTGTCAGTGAAGAGCCTACTTACACCAAAAGTGAACGGAAAGATAACTCTGTTCTTGTCACCGGCAAGTGCTTTGCCGTTCAAGAAATGACCATAAGCCTCAATCACTTGTAGATTGACCCACTCTAATCGCTTCAAGGTCAACAGATGAAGACGGGCGAGTTTAATTGAAGGAGTGTGCACCACCAAGCCCTTACCCTCAGGGGTACTGAAGAGTGAAGACGAACTCAACCATAAGACGAGCAACTGGGTCGAGCTTTGGGGACACATCCTTCGACAAATAATATATTGATGAAGAAGCATATGGGTTCTTCTTCGACCTCTCAAACTCTGGGGTCTTTAGTGTTGCAAGCCATTCCTCAGGTGTGTAGCTGTATAGACGGTCTCTCTCCTCGTCAGTCATATTCCTCTCATCCGTGATAATCACATCTGCACTCCTCTCAGTGCCCTTATAAGCCGCTTCTACCAACTCCTCGTCTGTAGGCAACATTCCCATCTCTGCAAGTTGAGAGAACGACTCCACCACATCTGTAGGTGGGTCTTCTTCCTCGGCATTAGCAGCGCTAGTAGCCTCATGAGCTATCTGCAATATGTCCTCAAAAGAGGTATCTGGGACTGTATAGTGTATCACCATAGAGACTGTCGGCTCAAACACCTCCTCGTCCGGTGTCTCTACAGTCTTCTCAGCTTCATTCTCCACCACCTCAAATCGATTCTTCTCTTCAGGATATTCCTCACATTTCTCTCCAGTTGTCTCCACTTGTGGCTCGACCTGGTCCTTTTCTAGAGGCTGCTCATCCATTTCCATTTTAGCTTCAGTATTCTCCACTTGGTCTTCCACCACCTCTGTTTTAAGCTGCTCTAGCACCTCTTCAACAGTATTCTCCAAAGGTCTCCTCCTGGAATCCACGACCTTGAACCTGTCATGCTCTTCCTTCTTTTCTATCATATGTCCCAGTTTTGTTGCAAAGTCCAGCAATTTTCCCATATTCCGGTCAATCCCAGCACCTAGTACCTTGAGCTGGAAGACAAACGAACATTTTGTGGTAATTAAAAACTATATCCAAACTGCTCGTACAATTATCCCATGTACCCAGACTATTATCAGAAGAGAGCGTATAAATATTCAAGTTGGCAGAATTGATATCCAAAAATAACAAACATTGATTCCATAGAAATATCCAAATGCATAAAATTAATATCCAAACATCATAAACCAGTATTCATAACTGAAAAGAAACCACAAGCTGATATCCAAGTGAAACCAACAAATATTCCAGAACAACAAACTAAAATCCGACTAATAGCCATTCCAACATGGCATCAAATTCACGGAAAACAGTACAACCCCCCACCAAACAACGGAAAATAGTAGATCAAATTCACTCTTGCTGTTCCAAATTCTAGACAATCGTTTGGACCTTGTCCCTTCGAGCCACCCACTTTTCAATCATGCTCTCAGTCATTTCCTTCAATCCCTTAAGCTACACATATGTTGTGAAATATTTAGGTTACTGTATCGTCCAAGTCTACCAATGCACGATCTTAGTTAGGGATGAAGAAAACATTTTACCTGCCCTAGCGAAAGGCTAGTCAAATCTTCAGTCTCCCACCATTCCGCGGTGGGCAACGGTGCACGATCTGGAGGAGGAGCTGAACTGCTCGCAGCTGCTGCACTAGCTGCCGGCTGGAGCTGCCCGCGAGAGGCGATTTCTTCCCTACTCAGCAGAGCGGCAGCTAGGTCATATCTTCCCCTGACTAAGGGGATAGATGTGCCTGCCCTCTCGACACTTTGCTTCCACCAAAACCGGCAGCTAGGGATGGTCTTTGTGTGCAACCCGCCTAGTTTTAGAGAGTCCAACAGATGGAGCTGTAAAAAAAATTGCAATTAATAAATCTTAAGTTCCTTTTCTAGCAATTTAATCAACAAATATCCAGAGTCAACACAAACAGAATCTTATGTGACTAAACTGATATCCAGAAATCATTTTAAGCTAGTTTTCATGCAAACATTATCTTATGTGACTAAACAAATATCCAGCAGATCATACCCAAATACGAAATTCACTAGTTTTCATGCAATTGAACCAACAAGTATAGAAAAGGTTAGGACTTACTGTCAAGAAGTAGCAATCTCCGAGAACCCACACGCACGGCGAGCCCAACGCCCTTGCACTATGTTCTTTTTTCTTGGCAACAGTCAACTCTACTTTCAGTTCACGGACAATAAATGTACACCAATCGTACACCCTCACGTCCTCAACACTCCCACCTAGGTATGGGGCAAAGTCCAGCTTGCACCTTCGAGAAAATGTTGGCACGAGCATCGAACCAGTAGCTAGTAGCAAGAATTGCTTGACAGCAATTGCAATAGGTGGTCTAGGACCGTTGACTGGAATGGCCAACTCCCGCATCTGCTTGATAGGAACCATGCGAGCCCTGTTCGAAATCATGCCAACTTCCTCGCTGAAACTATCAAGCATCCCCCCCTCAACGTTCTTCAAATCAATCACAGCCCCACCGAGAGGAAGGTCGTAGACACGTGCCACATCCTCAGCTGTGAAGTCGAAGACCTTCTTCGAGTCTCCTTCCCCAAAAACAAAAGTACTGGATGAGGAGTCATAAGCAGCCATCAAGTCGTCCATGAAGACATTGGGTATCTTCGGCATGCGAAGCTCCAATAGGCCCCTGAATCCTGCCTTCTCGACTTCTTTCTTGCAGGCTGCATAGTATTCAGCATCTTCTTTCCAGTAGTTTATAATTTTGAAGAGGGAATAGGTGGACCCACGAAATCTGAAATATGAGCCGCAGGGACCCTCTCCCTCATCATCTTCTTCCTCATCTTCCTCCTCAACTTCTGGAATAGCAGGCGGCGGCTGCCTTGATTTTTCTCCTTGACGAGATCTCGATGCAACCATTTTCGTTCTCTTCATCCCGGGTTGTTCCTGAAACACAGTTATATATTAAGAAAAATATCCATAATCCTTGGACAAATAACTAAAACGCACACTTATATACAATACAATTATCGTAGTAAAGCAAAAGTCTATCCAAACGGAGATAACTGATATCCATGAAAAAAATATCCATAATACCCAGAAAAATAACTAAAACGAACAGTTAAGTATCCAACTTAACAGAACTGATATCCACACATCAGACACATTAGATTATTTATTTAGCCAATACATACAATTATTATCGTAGTAAAGCAAAAGTGTATCCAAACGGAGATAACTGATATCCATGAAAAAAATATCCATAATATCCAGAAAAATAACTAAAACAAACAGTTAAGCATCCAACTTAACAGAACTGATATCCACACATCAGACACATTAGATTATTTTTTTAGCCAATACATACATTTATTATCGTAGTAAAGCAAAAGTGAATCCAAACGGAGATAACTGATATCCATGAAAAAATATCCATAATACCCAGAAAAATAACTAAAACGAACAGTTAAGTATCCACATTAACAGAACTGATATCCACACATCAGACACATCAGTTTATTTTTTTAGCCAATATAACTAATCGAGAAACGAAGTGAGAAATCAAACCTTTGGTGGTGGTTCATCCAGCGGCTGCTGTGATGATCCAGCTGCTTCACGAGATTTCACTGCAGATTTTGGTGCAACAGTTTTGGATTTCTTCCTCACGGGTTGTTCCTGAAACATAGTTAGATATTAAGATAACTATCGGTCAATGAAAATATTAAAATGCATCCGACTAGTAATTTTTAGCCAACATAACCAATCGAGAAACGGAGTAAGAAAAGAAACCTCTGGTTGTTGTTCATCCGGTGGCTGCTTTGATGATCCTTCTCCCTCATTGTTGGGCTTTGAGTTCTTTTTCGGTCTCCCCATTCACTGAAACAATATAACAAATGACCATAATAAATATCATAATTGACAAAACTGATATCCATATAACCTTTAACTAAGGGATCGACAAATGATACCCAGATTCAACAAAATCGTATCCAACAAACCCCCAAAATGGAATTCGAGAAACCATAATGAAACAATATATAAAATGACCAGAATAAGTATCGGAAGTGACAAAACTAATATCCATGTAACATTTAATCAAGGAATCAACAAACAATACCTAGATTCCCCAAAATCGTATCCAACAAACCCCCAAAATGGAATTCGAGAAACAATAAATCTGGTAACTAGAAAAAAAAACCAGGGCCCCAAAATTCGAATCCCACAGACCCAGAATCTGGTAATCTACAAACAAAACCCTAAACACCCATATTCGAATCCATGAAACCCTAAATCTACAAATTGAAAAACGAATCCCTAAACCCCCAAGTTCGAATCCCACGGACACAATATTTGGAAATCTAGAATCAAAACCCTAAACACCCTAAATCGAATTGCATGAACCATAAATTATCAAATCCATAAACAAAACCCAGATTTCCACAAAAATATTCCATGAAACCGAAACCCTAACATAAATTTTCAAATCCACAAACAAAATGAACAATAAAGAGAGAAGTAGAACTACCTCAGCGTCTTCTTCTACCTCCCACTATCGGCGGCGACGGCGGCGGCCTTCTTCGTGAAGTCGGCTCCCTCTTCTTCTTTCTTCTTCGGCGGCGGCGGCTTCTTCCACGTCGGTCGGTCCAGCGTCAACGTCGTCGGCGGCGGGAGATCCAACAAGCGGTCGCCGACCTCGCAGCCGTCGTCGCTGTCGCTTTCCTCGTCGGCGTCGCAGACCTCGTCGCCAACAGCGGTGGTTTTCTGCGGTTTTCGGGAGAAGAAGAAAAAGAGAGGGGAGAGAGAATGGCTGACGCGGGTTTGTTGGGTTTTGGGTTTGAAATTTGGGGGGGGGGGGTTTTAATTTCGGTCCCCACTTTTCCCAAAAGTGGCTCGGCTTGGCCCAAAAAATCTCCCCCCCTCACAGAACAGCGCCGGCGACCCCTCACCCTCCGATGGTGGCTCGGCGACGTGGCCCATCATCCCACCCTGTTAGTATCTGCTAACCACTTAAAGGGTTAGCAGAATAACGCTATTGTGTTGGCGGCTGGTGCTTGGGGAAAAATAAATGGCGGGAGGGGTAACAGTGAGGTTTTCGGTTTCGCTTTTTCTTCCCAGCCATATTATACGAGCAAAATTGTAACCGAATCAATCACTAAAAAGGCCGGTTAAATCAGAATTAATGGGCTCATTTACTCGGGTCTTCATTCTAGGACTAGGCTCGCTTTGATTCAAGTTTTATTACATAAATGCCGATCCAATTAGCAAAGTCCACCCGACCTAGATCTTTGGTTGGATCTTGATCTAAAAAAGAATTTGCATTCGTAACTTCCTCATTTTATATCAAAATTCGACCTCGTCTGAATTTACTCAAAACTTGACAAATTAAACCAAAGGCACAATGGTCTTTTCGACTTAGAAATAAGATGGGGTGTAACACAGGTAGTACTGCTTCTTGGGTTTGGAAGAGATTGCTAAAGGTTAGGGATAAGGTGGAAGATTTCTTTCGATGTTGGGGAACATAGGTTTATTGGAATGATAAAAGGATATTGAGATACTCTGTAAAACAGGTTTGGCAGGATTTACAGCATGTTAGACCTGTAGTTCCCTAGTATCAGCTTGTATGGGGAAGACACTCTATTCCTAGACACAGTTTCTTGAGTTGGATTGTGGCACGCAACAGGATAACCACATTGGATCAATTGAAGGGTTGGGGGGAAGGTGTTGGATGATAAATGTCTGCTCTGTTCTGCTCATACAGAGGATCGAAACCATCTATTCTTCCAATGCCAATATACGTTCAAGGTGCTGAAGGGTTGCCTGCAAATGCTTGATCAAAGATGTCCTCCGTTAGCCGAAGACTACTTGATGTGGGTTCGAGGAATTTTAAAGGTAAGAAGGCGTTAGCTATGGTTGGTCGTTTGGTTTGGAATTTAGTAGTAAGCATGGTTTCGAGGGAACGGTGTGGCAGACTGTATGTGAGTAAATCAATGCTCTCCTCGTTTTTCTTTTTCCTTCTTTTATTTATAAGTATCAAGAATGGAATCCAACTAGCAAAATATGTATGGATTCTATCGGCATTTGAGGTATATTCGTTATGCTCTCCCATACTCCTTTGTTTAGACCAATGCAGACATTGTCCAACTGAAACTGTGGGATGTGGATTAGTATACTGATCTGCATGCTCTACCTTCAATATGTTGAATGTTATCTATGCATTTGGGGGACAACTCGTGTGTGCTATGTGCAAAGTTTTCGAAATGTTTTTTGATATTGCCACCCTCTGAAATGCAGTTTCATACTCAACTTACTATGAATTCCTAGTCTCTACTATGATACGCGATCTAGTGAGGCTAGTGTAGTGACTATGAAGAAGGTCCTCGACATGAGATTAAAAACCACTTGATATGTCTGGATACCATCCCTTCCTTTATCTCTAGAGAACTTTTAAACTCTACCAATGAATCACACTCTTTTAACTTATTGTATAGGGTAAACTGTATCTTTATCAATAAAAAATAATACCTGACATGCATAAAGAAATCTTTCATAACAAATAAAGTGTGGGGTAAAAGATGCCAATGTATTAGGAAATCACTCATAGCATAGGTGGAAATAAAGATTCAACTGAGCAATGGTTGTGACAGTACGATGTTTCTTCACTATTAATCTCTGCCCAGTGAAGTGTCGTTTTAGAATTGTACTTAGAGGACATGGATAGAGCTTCCGATACCCCTCTACAACTTTGACCCTCCACACGAATTAAGGATAATGAGTTAAGCGAACCCCTTATGCGAGTGTTAAGATCAAGGTTCAAAAATTCGTTAGGCGTAAGGCGGGTGTTGCGACCTCACCTAGAGCCTAGCTTGCCTAGGCATTTTAAGAAAAATAGTCATTTTTAATAAATGTTAAATGAGTTAGGTGGTTTGCAACACTTTTCACTCCACCTAATTCAAATAATTAATAACTTAGTTAACACTTGACAAAAAATAAATAATATGATGAATGAACTAACATTTTAACAACCTCGTATGTCTGATGCTTCTGATTCAGGCCCAAATGTACACATTTTACCCCTCATTTCTTATTCATTTAGCTTAGTATTTCATCGTTCCTCGATATATTTCATGGTAGGTTGTGTTTGTTTTGATAAATTTAGGTCCTAGCACGTGTGGAAGGGTCGATGTCGAATTTTGGGATAATTGGAGGTCAAAAAGTGCAAAAACCAAAGAAAAGTCCGTAACAATGAAGTGAAGACGTCCCGGGAAACAACCGCAGTTCACGGCTGGACGAGGCAGTTCATGGTCTCCTAAGACCGTGAACTTCGACCACAAACCATGAACACTGAGGCGTCCAGCGAGGTTCCTGAAGTTACTGACGACAAAGCAGTTCACGGTCTCTAAGACCGTGAATTGTGGCCATTGACCGTGAACCCAGGAAGCAAGACGGTGCGTTTTGGAGACGAATGAGTTCACAGACGCTTTTAGGTGTTCACGGCCATGAACTGGCCAACGTGTCCGTGAACTGATCGCTTTCGGGCAAATATGAAGACAGTAGCGGGGAGAGAGAAAGGGGGAGCTGGTTTTTGGAGAAGAATTGGTTTCTCTCTCTAGGGTTTGCCCAAAAACACCAAAGGGGAGTTCTAGTGAGAGAGAGAGAGAGTATGCTGGATTGATCTTGAAGCATCATTGGAGGCTTGGGTGGATATTTAAGCCTAGAAGAAGAAGAAGATCTTGAGCTCAAATTTGTAATCCCTCTCTCTCTCTCTAGAAACTCACTCTTTTCTCTTGGGTGTTGTAGATCCCTAACTAATACTTTGTAATTACTTGTTTAGATTGAATGATTGTCAATGGGTATTGTTTAATTCATTGATTGAGGTATTATTCATGTTGATTGTGCATGCTTGTGCTTAGCAATCTAAGGGTTG